GTCGTACTTTTCAGCGTTATGTTTTCATGCTTTCTACTCGATTCGTTCGAACTTTAGGAAATGGTTTGTCTCACAAAACATGGAGCCACTTTCTCTTCGCTCATCATCTCGAGGCGTTATGGTGAAGATGCTTACAATACGAAACTGAAGAATTAATCTCTGAAATTGATAGTCATCACATTTTGCAAGAAGCGTCCGAGCTGTGATCGTGCAATTAAATGGGGCTCTGGCAATTTGACCTCACAAACGCGCTGGTATGCACATGGTTAGCATAAATAATTGTTGTTTACGGTTTTTGAATTCAATAGCAGTTTTCTAGAGTCTGTTCTGTAACCTTCCTGGATATTTTCTCTTAAATTCATTGAGGTTCAGTCTCGGAATTTCATAAGCGATTATGAATGATAGATTCGTATCGGCAGCATAATTTAGGGAAATTTTGTCAACACATTAACAGTTTGCAATTCGTGTACCATTTCTGTAACCTGCTTGGATATTCTCTTTTGAAGTAACTGAGTCACACGCTCGGAATTTCATTAGTAATTAAGAACGACAAATCCGTATATATAGCACAAGTGAAGCATATTTTAAACTTTCATACAATTGTAGGAAACTAGACTTAATTAACTCTCGATAAATTGGCCTGACATAACTCGTTGATTATTTTATTATTGTAACTTCCCGCGGGTTCGCAGGCGGATAAGAACCGAACAATTGATAGGATAACTCAAATCTTATTTTATTCTCCGTACGCCACCACCGACCTTCGCTCCTCCTCTCTTGCACCTCGTCTTTCCATATATGGAAGGTCCCATATAGGGCTATGTCACACATAATAACAACATTACACTGCCCCCCTCTAATACCTATTATCCGTCCCGGATAATGGCAAACTTCAAACAGTAACTGAAATTTTACATTAAGATCAAGTACATTAGAAAACAGTTCGATGTCTCAATTAAGTGTTCAGGTCATTTCATAGTCCCTGTATCTTGGGGGATTTCTCCGCTTCCTGTTGGATCGCCTGAGGCCCTCCTGGTCCTGCTGCTGCCTCTATGCCCCATCACGCGTCTCCTTGTCCTGGGAGTTCTTGTTCCTGAGTCTTGGAGGTAACTTCTGTCTCCTTTTGGGACGTCTAACGGATGCTCTTCCCTTAGTGTTGACCTCCTAGTTTTCCTGCTGTGTAGTTGTTCCGCTAGATACATCCTCACTCATGTCTTGCAGTGGTCCCTGGAACCAATCTGCGTGTTCTACCCCAGAGTACTTCCAAAGGCGTTCTCTGTGTACCACTTTGGGCTTTTTCCGAGGACCCCGCTGAATCCTGTACACAACATCATTAGGCCGTTCCACAGTAACGTATGGCTCCTCCTATGGCCGTCTCTGTTTTGGCGAGATGCCCTTCTTTGTTTGGGGATTGTGAAGCCATACAAGATCCACACTTTCAAAGGTAGATGCATGTCGTACCGCCTCTTCATCCTCAGACTACTTTCCTGCTGATGTACACAAGCAAAATTGTGAACAGTTTCCACAGACTCTCTCAACCTCTCAACATACTCAGGATAGCCACTATCCTTGGGTTTTTCTTGTGAGCGCCCAATTAGCAGGTGCAAGGGTACATGCAGTTCCCGTCCAAACATGAGCATTGCTGAAGTAAACTTTGTGGTTTCATACACTGCTGAACGGTAAGACATGAGTAGTAGAGGCAGATGTCGATCCCAGTCCCTCTGGTGATCCTGGAAAAATGTAGCGAGTTGGGCTTCTATAGCCTGGTTGTAGTGCTCCATTATGCCGTCGGACTGTGGATGTAGTGCAGTTGTCCTGATTCCGAGCAGGGTGCATACCTCCTGGAACACGGACGATTCCAAAATTTCGGCCTTGGTCAAAGTGTAGCTCACCAGGGACACCAAACTGACTAAAGAACTGGGACACAAGGACACCAGCGACAGTGACCGCTTCCTGATTTGGGAGTGCATACGCTTTGGGCCATTTACTGAAATAGTCCATCGCAATGAGGATGTATGGCAGAGGTCCCAGGACATCAATGGCAACACGCTCCATGGGCTCCCCAACATTGTACAACTGCAGCAGAGATCTTTGCTTTACCCTAGCCTTTTCTAGCAGCACAGAGGTTGCACCTTTGACATCATTCTTCAACATCATGGTGGCAATGAATTCAGTAGAACCTTTCACGGACTTTAGCCAGAGTTTTGGAAACTCCTAGAAGACCTCTTGCAGGGTTATCATGGAGTTGTTTTAATACGCTGGTGCGGAGCCCTTTTGGCAGTACCAGCTGCCATGTGACCTTACCAAGCTCGATTAACTCCCACTGATGATACAGCACTCCCTCCTTAACAGCCAACGAATCCCATTGGGCCCAGTAAGCCTTAGTGGTGGAGTCGAGATGGGTGATGCTTGCCCACTCTGGGCGTTTTCCAGCCTCCTTCCATCCCAGGATGTGACAAATAGTTTTATCTTCCATCTGGTGGGTTCCCAACTGTAGTGGTGATAGCTGTTCATCTTCAAGTTGGTCCAAACCTTTTAGTTCCTTTCCCGTCCTCGGCAAGCTAGCGGATTTAGATTGAGGGCCTTCAGACGTGTGGGCTTGAGTGACATTTACCACACATTCATTTAGCATGCTGGTTGCATTTTCTGTCGCATCTTTTCCCTCTTGGTTCTGACAATGCTCTCAATTGGTGTCAAAGCATGGCCGACCCGACAAAACATCAGCATTATGGTGGCCTCTCCTGGTATACAATACAAAAATCATAGGTCTGCAGCTTGTCCAGCCATCTTGCAATCTGACCCTCTGGATTCTTGAAGTTTATTAGCCACTGGAGAGATGCGTGGTTGGTCCTTATGGTGAACTTCTGCCCATAGAGGTAGGGGCGGAAATGCTCGATTGCTTTGACAATAGCCAAAAGTTCACGCCTGGTTGTGCAATAGTTACATTCTGGTTTGCTTTTATAGCCTGGCTGTAATAAGCTATGACTCTTTCATTCCCTTGGTGGACTTGAGACAGAAGCAATACCAACATTGCTGGCATCCGTGTCTAACACAAAGGGGTCCTCGCTCTCAGGATAGGCCAAGACTGGAGCTGATGCGAGGGCTTCTTTGAGGCAATGAAACGAACTATCGCGGTTGGCCTTTCTCAGTCAGTTGGTACTGAGGGTGGGCAATGTCAGCAAAAGAAGGAACAAATCACTGGTAGTAAGTGCATAGTCCAAGAAGGCTTCTAACATCTCTGGCATTTTGCAGCTTTGCCCAGTGTGTGACAACCACAACTTTTTCAAGGTCTGTGGCAACCCCTTCCTCGCTTACGACATGGCCAAGGAACTTGACCCTGTGCCGGAAGAGTTCACACTTCTTTGAGTTCAACTTCAGGTTGGCCGCCCTTAGCTGTGAGAAGATAAGAGTCAGACGTTGTACCTCCAGTTCAAAGGTTTTCGCATGTGCAATCATGTCATCTAGATAGACCAAACACCTCAGGTTGCCAAGGATATTGTCCATCAATCGCTGAAAAGTCGCGGGTGCGCTACATAGACCGAAAGCCATCACATTGAGCTGCCACAGCCCATGACCTGCAGTGAAGGCAGTTTTCTCACGGTTCTTCTCTTCTACCTCCACTTGTCAGTACCCACTTTTGAGGTCAAGGGTGGAGAACGAGCTTGAACGAGATAAGGCATCGAGAGTTGTGTCTACCCGCGGTAAGGATACGAGTCCTTGTTAGTCAGTTCGTTTAATTTCCGGTAGTCAGCGCAAAATCTGGTAGCGCCATCCTTTTTCTTCACCAGGCCCACCAGTGAAGCCCATGGACTGGCCAAGGGTTCAATTATGCCTTGTGCATGCATCTCCTCAACAGCTTTGAATGCCTCCTCCTGCTGTGCAATTGGCAGCCTCCTAAGGTTTTGACGTAAAGGGGGGAGCATCACCAGTATTGATTTAGTGTTTCATAACTCCTGTCTGGCTGAGATCATGAGGTCCACTAGAGAAGATGTCTTGGAATTCAAGCAAAAGGTTGCGCAATTGATGCTCTTGGTCGGTGGTCAACCCACTAGCGCTTTGGAGGTAAAGATCTTTGAGATGCTCTGGTAGGCCCTCATCCGGACCAATAGGTTTTCGATGGGGGTCACTGTTAGGGTAAACTATGCTCTCTACAGGTTCACAAGTAGCCACTTCTATACCAGAGGGAATCTGTCTTGGCTCATTAGTTAGGTTGACCATCCGTACAGGAATGTAATCATGCTGGACATCCACTAATTTTTTTCCGACCATAACGCTGGGTGGGAGTGTGGTGGTAGGTGATGGCCCTACTGTCCCCCAGGGTTCACCATATGGCTCACCTATAATTTTAGCGGGTACCAGTATTTCACTGTAAGGAGAGATAACGGTATCTTCCATAGCCACCACCTGGTGGCAGCAGGCTACTTGGAAAGCCAATGGCTTATGAAGAGGCACCTCCTCTGCTCCAATGCGTAGGCTGCCCACTCCAGTATCCACAGAACAACCATGAACCATAAGAAAGTCAAGGCCATGTATAAACTTATGTGAAAAATCGGCAACTAAGGTTACATGTGAGACCTCTGCAACACTAATTTAAACCTTCAGCGGTAGTTTCCCGTGTACTGTAGCAGTTTCTCCTGTTGCAGTTTTAAGGACACTGCTCGTGGCTTGTACACTAGTACGCAACTGCTTGGTAAGCACATCAGGTCGAACAATCGTAATGTTTGCTCCAGTGTCAACAACCATGAGGCTCGGTACTCCTTCAATGTGGCCAGTTCCGGTTAAGCTTTCCTCCTTGTGGGTCAATGTTCCTGTTATCAGCACAACTTGTGGGGTTAAATTATCTGGGTGGTTGGCCGGCCTTACCCCATCGAGACTAGCCTGGATTAGTTTAAAGGAGGCTGGAAGTTATGTGGCTGCATGTCTCTTGGGGTACTCTGGCGGAAATTTTGACATTCACGTCTAAAGTATCCCCTTTTGCCACAAGCCCAGCACAGCTGATCCCTCATCCAGGATCCAGAATATGATTGCATATTCCCTTTGGGGGTTCTTATTTCCTCAAGCAGCACCTTAACCTGTGCAAGTAATCCTCTTGTTGAGATTACTTGCCATCCGATGGCACAGTTAGGGTTTCTTCTATTGGTGCAGTGCTCATCTCGCGGACATGAAGATCTCTTTGGCGAGAGGCAGGTCGATAGGATTCGAGCTCCATGGCCAGTTCAAGAGCAGCCCGGAGGGACTGGGGCTTACTCTGTTTCAATCGCAGCAAGGTGTCCCCGTCGAGGATGGCATCAATAAACTGTTCTTTAGCCAGCAGGTCCTTGATATCTTCTGGAGCGAGAGGGTAGGCTAGCCTTGTCAAACGTTCTATGTCCTCAGCAAGTTCTTGGAGTGATTCCTCGCGGCGCCTCAGTCTGCTCTTAAACTTGGTGCAGTGAAATTCCTGCTGGTGTGCTGCTCCGAATCTACTTTCGAGCACCGCAACTAATGCTCTGTAGTCTTGTCTTGTTTCTGTTGCAAGATTTCTGACGACAGTCAATGCAGACCCTTTGAGGCTAGTCGCCAGGTAATTTCCTTTCTGTTCATCGTTCCATTGATTCATTTCCGCCACTATTTCAAACTGTGCGATGTAAGGCTCCCATTGTGATTTCGCGTCGAATGAAGGTGGCTTTTGTATCGGCCGTTTTTGATCGGCTCCATGCCATTTGTAGCTTCACTGGAGTCCAAGTTTCCTCCTTAACATGCGGAGGTTTCTTTGTGTCGAGCGCTTGTAATGCGATATTTAGCTTCGAATCTAGCCTTTCTTGTGTTTCCTGGAGGCTCTTTTTAACGGTTTCTTCAAAGGATCTGTGCATGGCCTATAAGGAGGCCACAGTGTCAGAGAATTCTTCCTCGAAAACATTTATTTTAGCTGCAAGTTGAACTCCATGTAATTTGAGCTGAGACTCCATTTGAGCAGCCTGGTTGTTCACACGAGCTCCTAAGGTTTCAAGGCGCTCAGAGATTTCCTCAACTTGTACATCCGCCTTGCGGTCTTGCTGCTAGATTTTAAGTTCTATGCTTTTTTTCTGGCTAGATATCGATTGTAAAGTCGTGTTCCCGATGCGACAGCTTCGCTTGGTGTGTGTTCAGCCTGTGTGTTGAAAACAATTTCTCCGCACTTCTTGAGTGCTCTAGCCGCTTCCTAGGTGCTTTATAACAGAACAGAGCACGGTCAAGGCTTCTCTATTTGTTTTATAATAAAGAATCCATTAAATTCTCCAAGCATTACTTTCGATTTTCAAAACAAACTTTATATCCCAAAGCGAACAATAGTGTCGTCAGCATGCTCTGTACTCTCGTAAAACACGCTACAATAAGCCAATCAGAATCCCTGTTAGAATGGTTCAAATAATTTGATTGGCTGTACAAGACTAAAGCTGTCAAAAGTGTCAAAGCATCAAAGTTCAAAAACCATAAAAGTTCACATTCTGTGATAGTTTACAAAGTGAAATAGTCCGGCAGGTTGAATCTAACACTTTTGTATTTAAAGTCTCTAATACAGAATCTTGAAGTGAAATGTGCAGTGAAGTTCAGCCGAATTATGGCTCGTAAAAGCACGTGAGTTTTTTCCCATGACAAGGTAGAAAACAAACTATTCAAGGTGAGTGTTTTTTGAATGAAGGACAGCCGAATTCACCGGAACATGAAGATCGCTCGGGATGACAGCTCCGCAAAACTCGGCTGCAGTAACTGTGACTTTTCACTCAATGCATTGGAAAGGATGTTAGAGCAAGCTCTTATTTTTTCACTCGAAGGGCGGCCGATATAGTTTCTGAGGCTTGCTTTACTGTGATAACCGGAGATCCCCATGATGAGTGAGCCGCGATGGACCGGCATTATCATATTCGCTCAAACACCATCATGATTAGTCTGAATTTTAACAGTTATGCCAGTTTTAAACTGGGTAAGATTAAATTCATATCATGCTTCATTATGGTTTGTTTACCTGGAAAGGTAATTGTTATTATAGCTTCACAGATGTTTTTGTTGCAATCACAATTAAAATTCATAACAAAGTTTCATTTAACATAGAACGTTCCAAGAACTCTCTTCCTTTCTCTTCAATACCATTTATTATTCCTGTAGCACAATTAAAATTAGCAGGTTATTACAAAAAA